TAATTACTGTGTCTCTCCTCTGAGATATCCTTAGAATCTGGTCTGTCAGGACATCATCCAGGATCTCAAGTTGACCTGGAGGGCGATAACATACCCCCATTGTCCGGTCTCTTTCCCTGTTATGTTAGAAGTAACCATGTACTTTTTGTTCCGCTCCCCACCTTCTTATCTGCCCTTTCTAGTGAGCCTCCTCAAGAGATAATACATACTATTTCACTCATACCTCTACAAAAATGCCTGTACGATGTGCTCAGATTTGCTTGGAGTCAGGCACAGTATACTATACTAGGAAGCACAGTACTTTGGGCCAGACAGCAAGGAGTTGAGGGCATTATGGGGATGAGGGAGAGCCTACCTTCTGAATCCCACAGTTCCTTCCAGTACTGAATGAGACTGACAAGGACATTTCATTGCTCATACAAGGCTCCAGTTGATGGTAGGGCCCTCGGGAACAGGTGGGGAAGGAACAGGTGCTAAAACAAGATTTCAAGGCTCAACAGATAGCAGGGCAGGGGAAGGATTTCATTTGTACAGTATGAGTATTCCCAGGAAGAGATGCCTGGATTAAAGCTGACCAACAGCAAAAAGGCCACCAATATAGTGATGTCTTGCTGGCAATTGCCCACTTTTCTGTACCATAAAAGGACACAAGCTAGGACTAGCTAGGAAGGCAGTAAAAGCAGCCCACAAGCAGCAAAAAAAATGACATACTACTTGTTCATCTCTTCATGAGATCATGACTTAGTTATGGGTAGAAACAACCCACCATAAATTAATTAGACCATGAGATGTGGTGTCAGGTAAACCAGCTCATTATGTAATGTGAGCATTCTCAGTTGTTGTTATGTGTCGTTAAGTTGCCTCCAATGTATGGTGACCCCATGAGCCAAAGCCCTCCAAAATGTCCTGTCTATGAAAGCTCCATTCAGCTCTTTCAAGTTCAAGACTGTGGCTTCCTTTACAGATTCAATATGTAGGGTATTTGGTCTTCCCTTTCATCTTCTGCCTTTGACTTTTCCTAATATGATTGTGTTCCCCAGGGAGTCTTGCCTGTCATGCTGTGCCTCAAATATAATAGCCTCAGTGTTGACATCTTTTCTTTTAGGGAAAGCTCTAGCTTGATTTGATCTAGGACCTACTTGTTCATCGTTTTATCAGTTCAGGGTATTCACAAAGCCCTCCTCCAGCACCATGTTTTGAATGTATCAGTTTTCTTTCTGTGGGCTGTCTTCATTATCCAACTTTCACACCCATCACATTAGATTTCAGGGGGTGCCCTGTGTATACGTGTATACATAGGACACCCCCTGTATATACACATTTATAGGGCTTTTTGTATCTTTGGAAACTAGAATGTTGTAACAGCATCTGTTAAAAATTTTCCTAACAGAACACTCTGTTTTATTGCTTAGTCCAAATAGAAGTAGGATGAAATGCAGCTTAGATAATTTTTATATTATTTTTCCAATGGTGCAAATATATTGTTCTTAAAATAATGAACTTTTTGACATGAATAAACATTCTCATATGTTGTCCTTGTTTTTTATTCTTTACATTGTCCTTAATTTATCCAAAAGACTGTGGTATGCATGTTAGTCAGTCATATGCTTGATTGAAAAGCAGAGATGAAAACAATGTAATACTAAGTATAATTAATAGTATTTACTTTCTAAATAATTGGTGCTGTTCACTGATAATATTTCCTTTTTCTCTCCCTTTGTTGCTGTTGTTGTTTTTTTCTTTCTTTTTATGGATAGCCTTCTGTTGAGTCAGCAAGTCCAGGTAAAGTTTTGATTTTGATTCTTTAAAGATTTGGGGGAAAAGGGAGTGCTCCAGTTAAGAATTTTGTGCAGGAATTAGTGCCACTGTATTGAATTGCTGTGTTTTGCTGTTCTGCTTACCATTAAACACACTTCCCATTTACATTGCTGCCTTAATCCTGGGATGCAGGAAGTTCTGAATTCCATGCAAGAGGTTGATGGGAACAGGATAAATGTTTGCTATTTTGTAATGGTTACGTTTTGGTTCCAGCACTAATAGAAATGATCAGCTTGTGGATAGGTTCATACCACAAGCTTATTGATTCTGCTTACATAATATAGTAGTTCATGTTCTTTTTCTGAAAACTACTTCCCATTATAGAATTACTGGAGATTTTGCAACAGCCCAGTAGTTTTAAAAGTATGAATAAAGAGTCCTTTCACAACAAGAAATACATAAGCTATTGCATTATGGAAACAGAATAAATGTATCTATTATGTCCTTGTATTGGCAATAAGCCCTTTCCTTCATTCACTATATAGGATTAGGACAGAAATTATGTTTATTACTAGGCAGCTCTGCTGAACAAATGATTCTTTTTGAATAGATTATGTCTGTATATTTCCAGTATTCCACATAACTCTTAGGAACAGCTAATTTAGTACTATATTGCTAAAAGTGGAGGCAAGGCAGTAAGGAGCTGTGTTGCTTTTCAGCAGTGACTGTTCTGAGCTGTACAACCTGCACTGATCTTGCTAGCTGTTATGCAGTTTGTATGAGCAATTAGCTGCAAAGATGGTCATTGGCCATTTGTGGTTTGCAGGTGTTGGGCATGCTGGAACACCCCCTCCACACCAAGCCTCTCTTTGGAATATATCAGGGTCACATCTGTTTGCATTCTGTGTTACAACATAAATTTTTCTATACTCTAGACATTCTTTCAGTCATGAGTTCCAAACAGATAGTTGTTTTGTTGTTGCTTTACTTCAAACTTTACAGTAACCTGCTGCTTATTAATTAGTGCAAAGTTGTATGATTCAAGTACTACTGCAGGTCTGTTGTAGATAATATGTGAGCATATGTTGTTTTGTTATGAACCTTCCATAAGTGGTTCTTCTGAGAATGCTACTATTACTTCTAAAATAATAACAAGAACAAGCAGCATATTTTGAGGTAACAACCTGCTTTAAGTTGTTTGTTTGTTCATGTACTGAAAATCTACCCATTAATAAGCAAGACTTTATATTCTGCAGCTATGGCTGGACTATCCTAGATTCCCTTGGCATTTTTGTTTTAAAAATTGAGAATATGATGAATGAATTGTAATATCCAATTACATACATTTACCCAGAAGAGTCATGGGGGCACAATGCCCCAGAAAACCTAGTTTCGAAATATGCCAAATACAAGCAGTATCCCATCTTGTAGCAGCAGCAATAGCATTCATGTGCCTTATGCCAGGCTTATGGATTTTGCTGGGAAAGGCTCAACATGGATATGTCTATCAATGAAAAGAATAAGCCAGAAAGTTAAAGCAATATCTTACCTGAACCATCAGCATTTGTTAATTTATTTTGGCATTTCTAAAAATGTTTTTCATTTTTATATTAACTTTCATTTTAAATATATTGACATGCCATAATATTTATCTTAATTCTGTGGTGGGATCAACCCTGAGGCTATTGATCAAATTGTAGGTGGGTCTGCAACATCAGATGACCATGAATTTGATCCAACGGCTGACATGTTGATTCATGATTTTGATGATGAACGAACTTTAGAAGAGGAAGAAATGATGGAAGGTGAAACAAACTTCAGTTCTGAAATAGAAGATCTCACAAGGGTAAATACTAGAAAATATGTTTAAACTAGTTCTAAAAACTGTCTCTACTTGCTTTCTTTTTGTAAATGTGTAGGAAAGTCTTGGAAATGGCTTGAGAGTTATATGGAAATACATAATAATTTTCAAAATTACTGCAAAATGGTGGTCTTTTAAATGGAATTTGGGTGAAAAGTATTAGGAGTCTTCAGGCTAGTTCCATCCTGAATAATCAACTTTATGTGAGCACTGTTTCATATACTAGGTATTAGTCATGATTCCACAGTAGATCTTGACTCTCTGCATGTAATATATGGTGATGAACTCATGCGAGTTAAAGGGAGACTTCCTGAGTACCCAAGGAACTTTGTAGCTGAAAAATCCTAGCATATGTATTGAGAAGTGGTGATATTTAAAAGCAGTGTGGATTTGATTTAAATCAAATTGATGAAAATCACTAGTCAGTAAGACTAGATTTAAATCATGACTTTTTACATAATTTGCATCCATGCCTGCTCTGCCCGTAGATAGAGGAACTTGGAATCATAGAATAATAATGTTGAGAAGGGCTGTGAAAGGCCATTGGGTTCAAGCCCCTGTTGTTGCAGGACACCAGTTTACACCATCCCACTCAGATGGCTGTTCAGTTTCTTTACAAATTTTTCTCTTGTGGGAGAGCCCATGACTTCTCTAGGCAGCTGGTTCCTCTGTCATATTGTTCTGAGAATCAGGAAACTTTTCCTGACACCTAGCCTGAATCTGGGTTGTCGCAACTTGAATTGATTATTTCATGTCCTACACTCTGGAATCAGTGAGAAGTGATCGTGACCTTCTTCTTTGTGACAGCCTTTGAGGTACTTATAGAGGGATATCATGTCTGCCCTCAGTCTTCCCTTCTTAAGGCTGAACATGCCCAGTTCTATCTCCTCATAGGTTTCCAAACCCTGGATCATTTTTTTGTCCTCCTCTGGACCCTTTCTAATTTTTCTGCATCTTTCTTCAATCTTGAGGTCTGACTAGTAAGGAGAATAGGGGAACCACTGTGATTTGGAAGTAATACTTCTGTTAATGAGTCCCAAAATAGCATTTGCCCTTTTTGCAACTGCTTCACATTGTTGGCTCATATTTAGCCTGTTGTCCACAATTGCTCTGAGTTTTTTTCTTTTTCAGTTCTGTTGAGCCATGTATTGCCCGTCTTGTATCAGTTCATTTGGTTTCTTTTTCCTAGGTAGAGGATTTGTCCTTATTGAATCTCATTCTGTTGCTTACAGCCCAGTGTTCATGTTTATCAAGATTGCCCCAAATCTTTATTCTGTCTTCTAGAGTGTTTGCTATTCCACCCAGTTTTGTATCATTTGTAAATCTGATTATCTTTCCTTGTACTTCCTCAAAATGTTGAAGAGCACCAGGCCCAGGACTGAGCCCTGTGGCACCCCACTAGTTACTTCCATCCAGTTTGAGAAGGTCCCATTGATGAGTACTTTTTGTGTCTGATTTAGCATCCAATTTTGGATCTACCTAATACTTTTTCTATCTAGTCCAGTTTTTGCACATTCGCTTACCAGGATGTTGTGGGGCACTTTTCTTAAAGCTTTGATGAAGTCAAGGTAGATTATGTCCACAGTGTTCCCTCTGTCCCTTTGGGAGGTTGTCTAGTCAAAAAATGAGATTAAATTAGTCTGACAGGATTTGTTTTTGGTAAATCCATGTTGGCTTTTATTAATCTCTGCAATTTGTTTGAGATGCTTGCAAACTGATTTTTTAATAATTTGCTCAGATAAGCATTGAAATGTAAGCATAAGCATCTGTATGTTTGTACTCATGACATGCCAGCCTATTCTTAAACACCCTCACTGATGGGGCTTCAACCATTTTCCATGGAAGCGCATTCTGTACCCGAGGGGTCCTAACCGTACTTCCTGCCACCCACCTTCAATCTTGGCTCCCTGAGCTTTGCTCCATTGGAACGCATCCTGCCCTCATCCGCAGGGAAGAACAGGTCTCTACCCACCTCTATGTAACACCCCATCACATACATATATGCCATTAACAGGTCCCCTCGGAGCGTCCTCTTCTCCAGGCTGAAAAGACCCAGTTCCTTCAGTCTCACTTCATAGGGCTTTCCCTGCAATCCATCCACCATCCTTGTGGCCATTCGCTGAACCGATTCCAACTTTGCTATATCCCTCTTGTAATGAGGGACGCAGAATTGAACGCAATATTCTAGCCTCAGGGGCACCACGTTCATATATAGTGGCAGTAATAACTCTCAATCTAGAAGTCCCACTTCTGGCTATGCAACCAAGGGTGGCATACATCCTCTTGACTGCCGCATCACACTGCTGACTCATGTTTAGCTTGTAGTCGACCAGTGCAGTCGACCAGTACAGACCATAAGCCTGTACTTATGACACCCATTCCTATGCCCCAAGTGCAAGACCTTGTACCTGTCTGCACTGAACACCATCCTGTTGTCCCTGGCCCACTTCCATAGTCTGTCCAGATACTTTTGGATCCAGAGTACATTCTCCTTGGTTGTGGCCACCACCCCCATCTTAGTATGATCTGCAACTTTGATCAGCAGACTGGTCAACCCTTCTTCCAGGTCATTGATGAAGAGATTGAACAGGATCGGTCCCAGGACAGAGCCTTGGGGGACCCTGCTCATTACCAGCCACCATCCCAATGATTCCTCACTAATAGTTACTCTCTGCTTTTGGTCTGTCAACCATGCCCTAATCCAGGAGTCCTCAAACTTTTTAAACAGGGGACCAGTTCACTGTCCCTCAGACTGTTGAGGGATGCACTATAGTTTGAAAAAAAATATGAATGAATTCATATGCACACTGCACATTAAAAATTAATTAAAATTAAAATAAACAATTAATTAAAATTGAAAAATTAATTTAAAAATATTTGCTCTACTCCCTCAGGCTGCAGCAAAAGCCCCAGATGAGGTGGGGAAGAGCATGTCTATATTCAAGGGACATACCTACAACACAACCAAGGCATTAAATACAGTATTTTGCATAATGCAGCTGATGACTGCCGCTGGCATTTACAAAGAATGAAGCAAAAATACTAAGGATAAATACTTTTAATGCCACTCTTAGTATTTGAAGCAAGTCAGCCCAGAAAAATTCCCACAATACACAATGGCTGTATTTGGATGCAGAGATAATGACTACCATATTTTAGTGCAACCTTGTCAAAACTAGTACTGTCCAGAGGAGTTGGACTACAACTTCCATTCGCCATGCTGGTTGGGCATAATGGAAATCATAGTCCTTGCTGCTGCCTTGGTTCCAAGGGAACGGGTGCAGGAGTGAGAGGCCAGAGAGGCAAGCGTGGGGCAGCTCCCTCAGTCAGGAGAGGGCCGTGAGGAGGGAGGTAAGGGCTTCTTTCCGAGGCAAAGGTAGGCGAGGGATGGAGCTATGGCTGGCTGAGCAGGCCACCTCCCATCTCTCCCCACTGCGGGGGGAAAAAGCATGGCAGCCACACCACAACGGCGGCTTGCCCATAGAGGGCCGCAGCTCCTGCATCTCCGCCGCAGTCTTCTCTGGGCAAGCTGCCGCCATCATCGAGTGGCTGACTCCGGGCTCAGCGAGCCAGCCACGTCTTGGCCCACAGCCTGGGGACGTGGCTCACATAATTAAATAGATTTAAAAAGTTATATTTTTCTTACCTTCAATCCTTTTTTAGTGTCTTCGTCTCCCTCCCTCCCTCCCTCCCTCCCTCCCTCTCCCACCCTCCTCTTCTGTTTCCTGCTCTGTATTCTCGCTCTGTGTATGTGTGCAATGGGGGGGGGGTAGAGCCAGCGTACGCTCAGTTGAAGGGAGCTGTTACAATTTGGCACGTGCACCAGCTCTCTGCTCAGTTTCAGAGAACGCCTGCGCCAGCTCAGAGCTTTCAGACTCGCTTGGAGATCATTTTCTCCGAGCGAGACCAAAAGCTCTGAGGCTGGCTGGGTAAGTGCCTGTGGCAGGCCGTAGTTTGAGGACCCATGCCCCAATCCATCGGACAGGGCATCAGTTTATCCCAGAACTCAATTTCTCAGCTGGGATATCATGTGGCACTTCGTCAAAGGCCTTGCTGAAATCCAGGTAAAGCACATTCACCACGTTCCTTCCATCTAGCCACCTCGAAACCTTGTCACAGAATTCCACAAGTTTTGTCTGGCAGGACCTGTTTTTGCAGAAGCCATTTTGCGCACCCTCACTTCCCTATCTCGGGTTACTAGTTCTTTCACTATGATGAGCCTTTCCATTGTCTTTCCTAGAATGGATGTAAGGCTAACCGGCCTGTAATTCCTCATGTCCCCTCTACTCCCCTTTTTGAAGATTAAATCATATAGTTGGAGGGGGCCTAGCTGACCGTCGGGTCCAACCACCTGCTCCGTGCAGGACTCAAGTCACCCATATAGATTTCAACCTGGTCTAAACCTGCTTCACTTCCAATATTAGGCAGGATCAGCCACTTCAGGCTATACAGAATCTCCATAGATCAACATTAAATAATCAGCTTTGAGGATAATTCTGTATTTAAAACCTCATCTTGAAATAGAAAATAGTGGTCCAGTGTTCTTATCTTTCTAAGGAATGTGCATACTTAAAAATATGTGCCCTGGCAAAATAAGGAATAGAATACCAGCACTGTGCTAGGCTCTAGAGTTTGCGCACATAACTTACACTGCTAATTTTTTGAATAAACTGTTTTTCTCCTCTGACAAGCTGTTTGCAGTAAAGGTGAACAAATCTGCTCTGTTGAACATCCAGGAATCTCTAAACCCACAGGACGGGGAAATTACAGACTTCCTCATAATAATCTTATACTTAAATTAAGCGATGAGCAAAGTTCGAAATTGTTCCTGGTGCTTGCAGACTGATTTTTTAATAAATTTCTCCTGAATTTTTTCAGGGATTGATGTTAGACTAACTGGTCTGTAGTTCCCAGGTTCATCTTTTTCCTCTAAGACAGGGACAACATTAGTCCTTCTCCTGTTGTCTGGAAGTTCTCCTGTTTTCCAAGATTTATTGACAATAATAGCCAGTGGTTCTGAGAACTCCTCCACTAGCTCTTCTATGACTCTGGGATGGAGTTCATTGGGTTCTGGAGTTCTGAACATGTTTATGCCATTTGGGTATTCCTTGACCATTTGTATGTCAATTTTGGGCTGCCATCTTTCCCTTTCAGCTTGTACTTCCTCTTGGTTGTAGATTTTCTTGTAGGAGAAGACTGAGGTGAAGTAGGAATTGAGTGCCTGTGCCTTTTCCTTGTTGTCTAATATCACTCTGCCATTCACTCCATGAAAATATTCCCAAACCACAGGCTACACACAAAAAAATCCTAAAACCTACATTCTGCTTAAATGGTTTCACTTTCACTTTTACTGCTTGCCCCTCCCTGCGTGGACTTAGCTTCTTGGGCAGATCTGTTCCACTCCCCACAATCAACTTGAATCACTGAATTCTTTGAAACTTCGAGCTTAGGAGATAAGGGTTTGATTTTGTGTGCATAGATTTGTGGAGGAACAATAGGATTGAGGTCTTATTTTCAATTCTGTATGTTTATTTTATAACATTTTTGCTGGGAAGGAGAGGCATGTGCTCTCTGCAGGCACAAATTCACAGTTCTGAGAACTGTAAAACCAGACATCTTGTTTCTTTTAGGTAGAAAAATTGCCCGATAAATGTACTGAAACCTCTGGAAGAGCATAATATCATGAATGGATTAATGGAATTCATTTACCAAAATATTAAACATTGCACACATATATAGCCTTTTGCTGCATAATTAAAAACTAATCCTTATTTCATGATGAATAACCTTTGTGTCTTAAATAGAAAACTATCTCTAGATAGAACTTTCCACAAAAAGCATTAAAAAAAACCAATCAATTTAAATTTAAAAATCCAATTTAATTTTTAAAAAAATCATTTTTAAAGTTGATTTTTATCAATCTTGCTAAAAAGTATAGTAGAAGATGGGGCAAACAAATTAAGATTATTTAGTATATGTTGGATCATCCCTTACCCTGATAGAAGAATGTACAGACTGTATGTGATAACATGTGTATATAACTGTTTATTTATGTTTATTTATTAATGTTGTAAGCTGCCCCGAGGCTTTTTGCAAATGGGGCAGCATAAAAATGGTTTAAATAAATAAATAAATAAATAAATAAATAAATAAATAAATAAATAAATAAATAAATAAATAGAGTCAGCTATAAATGCTCCATCTTCTTTGAAGTTATGGTCTTCCAGAGGAGCTATAAATAAGGCATTTGGAAAGTTCTATATTATATATTTTGTATGAAATTCATAAAGACTGTTTACTTCGTATAAAAATATGTAAGTCATTTGATTAATTCATATGAGATTTCTTGTCACATTTTTGCATTTTTAACTTTATGTAGTTTTTTTGTATTTTTGAAAATTATTTTAGAGTTCAGATTTGTTAAAAGCCTAACAGGGTTAAGTTAAAGCCATTTTGATGACATGAACATGTAAAAAATTGGAAAAAATAAACTTTTCTTATTGTCAGATAAGCCTGGAGCTTAACATTGCTTTAATATGTTGTTGTTAATGATTCCCTGCAATTAGTGTACTTTACTTTTTGAAGCTAAATGAATGGTCTGGCAAGCCTCTTTGGAAAATGGGAGATCAGCAATGTAATCAGAACATTTTAGGTTGCATTGCCAGGCAGTAGGCACAGTACCTGTGGGGTGTTTTTTGTGTATTTTTTTTTAAATTTCTCTCAAAGTGTTGGTGTGAGACAAATGGCAGCAGAGAAATGTGTCTCTTCAAAGTGGCAAAATTCCTTAGTGACAATACTGCATGCCAATCAGATCTGACATATTCATAAAGTAGATAAGGAAATTCACATGACATGGCAACTCACCATGTGAATAGGTTATGCAGTATTGGTTATTTGTGGAACAATCCATGGTGCACCTGACAGATGATGAGGCTCACTGTGGACTGTCCCCTTGCTAGTCCTACTGCAGATGTCTCAGAGACCTGAGCAGCAGAACCTGTATTGTCTGCTCTTCCTGCTCTGTTGCCAACATCTTTTGTGCTTACTGCAATCTCCTAAGGAACAGATAGTGATCATTATGCCAAAATGCTGAAGCAGAACATTGGAATAGCTGTCACTGCTTTGCCATACGTATACATTACACAAAAAATGTTTGCAAATGTTTTTGTTGATGTAAACAGTTTTCATGGCTGCTTATGTCCCTGATAACACTCTCTCCATTTAGCCTTGTCAAGAACCTTATTTTAAAAGAAAATACTCCTTTAAATAGGAAGGAGTTGGACTTTTCCACTTTCCTGAGTTCCCTGAGGCTTGGGAAAGGGTGGAAAATATGCAGGACGCTGGGAACATTCAGGTCCAAACTTAAACCTAAAGGATTTCAGTGTAAAGGAGGTAATGTATTTGCAACTACTTTTCACAAGAAACACCTTCTCTTTGCTTGCACTTAGCAGATCACTGTTGTATATGTTTTCAAGTGAAAATAAGGTATTGGAAGTCTGGCTTTGTCAATGCCTGTGGATAGTGCCTGCTTTGACTCTTTGTGGAGCCTGTTCAATATTGGGAGTAGCCTAGGGTATATATTCTGATCAAAGGTGTATAATTAATTTGCATAAGCTTAGATATCGTTAATATAATCTGTGTATTTTATTTAATACAGATGGCAAATCTATAGTTGGTACAGATGTTGTACTTAGTTGATGATATTTTGAAAGCATCCCTGAGATGTGAAAACCTTGAGCCACTATCTGATAATTCCTTATAAAATGTAAGAGTTAGGAAGCAAATGCAATGAAGTTGTGGTTTCCTTTTACTTGTTCTATTCTTCCTTTTTTTTCCTCTTAACATTTCTAGTTTATCTCTGTAGTTGTAAGTTATGAACTAAAAAATGTTATTTTGATTTTAACAAGTTCATGGGCCAAATGGGAGATGTATTCCATTATAAGCTTGCAGAAGTATTCCTCTGGAAGAAAATTATCTATTTTAAGAAATAAACGCTTATGGCAGATTGAATGTATGTTACTACCTCAGTCATCACAATGGGTTCATTCTTAAGGTAAATCTATCATCTTCCCAAGGATTTACCAGTAGCTTGCCTGGAAAAATATATTTCAACTGGACTATGGAAAATTAGATGTTCTTGCTTTTTCATTCAAGAGATTCTTCTTCCATCTATTCTCTGTCAAGCATATGTTGTAAATTTTGTGCAAAATAAGCTTAGAATTCAGTAAAAATGATTTTTATATAGCACCTATTCATAGGTTTAACCCATAAATTGTTGGGGCCCTGGTGAAACAACTGAGTGCACAGCTTTCCACTGCTTCTGTTTTGCATCCACTTTCAGCAACAATTCAGGATCAACCCTCTGGGTTGTTGGGGGATAAACAGCCCAGAGTTCTAGGTTTGTATGTCTTTACCAGGCATGTCCTTAAGGTATGAACCTGGAATGCTGGATAGTTTGTTCCTAAACTACTCAGGGTTCCAAATTTTCTCTTTACATCAAACACACTAGGAGCACAGGGTGGGATTGATGATGTTCCTGGATTATGCTGAAAGTTGGTGTAGAACAGGAGGTGAGTGGGCAAGGGGCGCATAGGTAGCAATAGTTGGTTTCTCTGTTTTTCCCCTGCATGCAGAGCAAGAAATGTACCAGAGGGAATGACTGCTCCCTCTAACTTAGCCTTGGATCTTTCCTTGTTTTCCAGCAACCTGCTGTTGTCATATCATACTGCAGCAGTACCTCATTCATGAAAATAGCAAGTAGACTTGAGGCTGGGGATATTTACATAGGTTGACATCTGCTTTCCAGGGGCAGTTGTTGCCACTGTTATCTGGTCAACCTGCAGATTGCATCGTAGTGAAATTATTATAATTTCCTGTTTTAATTCTTTTTTAGGAAGGTGATATGCCAATTCATGAGCTTCTTAGCCTTTATGGCTATGATGGTACTGTACCACTACCAGAAGAGGAAGAAGAGGAGGAGGAGGAGGAGGAGGAGGAGGAGGGTGAGGGTGAAGAAAATGATAACAACAGTGGGTGCAGTGGAGAAAATAAAGTGAGTTAGTCTAAATATTTGATAACTTGGTCTATGCTATTATGTGCTGCACATCATGTGCATTTGGTAAGCTAGCATGTTCATTCCTTGAAGTTGGCATTATGTAGTAAAGCTGTTGTTAATTTAAAGGTAGAGTGTAATTTTGATTTGAAGTTTATCTCTCATGTTAGTGTACATAGGCTCTTAAAGGGGAGAAAGCAAAGGGAAAGTTGCTGTCATAGAGCAGTGTTGAGGAAGTTTATTCCAATATGGTAGTTATATTGCATGATTGTGTGCTATCTTGTCTTTCCATTCAAAAAATAACTAAGTTAATGTCAGCAGAGGGTACTTAGTTCTGGAGGTTGCATGTTGGGTAGAAATGGGCATTATCCCAATCAGTAGCTACAGGAGAAGTTAACAGCTGCATTGGAAAGAAGCCATGTAATTTAAAGGAGGATATGCATGACTGCATTTTCCATTGGCTTCCATCTCACAGTCTCCCCAGTTTGGTCATTAATTTATTTTTTGTCAAACTTCTGAAGAGAATGAGAAAGCATGGAAGCCCATTTTCACTCCTAATATTTATCACAAATAAAACCTTAGGGTCAAGAAATTAGTAAGCAGGCTTAGAGAAAGTTATGAGTATAGTGTTCTACAGGATGCCACATTGAATAGCACTCAAATAAGTAAAGAAAGGGAGGCAAATAATCTTTCAGCATTAAAAGCATTTACTTATTATTCACCTCTGTCATGCAGGTAAGTGGCAAATTGCTTGATTACCATAGCATAGGGATATTTGCCCCTTGACCACTTCTGTGCAATCTGACAAGACTTGAAGACGTGTGTTGGTCCAGAGACTGGAGATAAATATTAACAAGCAAACCTCCTCCTTATGTCTGTTTTTGGATATGTTTCCCTTGCATATACTGGGGCTAGCTAGGGAAACCTTTGATAAGAAATTGGTCATGAGGGAAAGTTTTCCTTTCCTACCACTAGGGAGTAAAAATCTTACTTTGGCTCCAGATTTAACAGAAGCAGTGGAAACCCTGTACGTGGGTTGAGGATTATGTCTGTAGAATGTTAGCATGTGTTCATCTGAATGCATGCATATATGTGCAGTGCCATGCCTACCATGTGAGATTGGGGATGAGTCTTGGAGCTGAAAAGATTGTACGTGCCTGTAATGGTGTGTCTAAATAGGAACATGTGAATTATAGCATCAGAAATGTAAAGACATTTTGTCTATATAACAAGTAGAACAATATGAAACAGAGTTGCTATTCAGAGCTTCCATATTACTTTAAAGCATGGCTCCTCAAACTACAGCTTGCGGGCCAGATCTGAGCTGCCATGCCCATTTATCTGGCCTGCCTCAGAGGTTTTGGACTCACTCGGAGAAAACGATCTCCAAGTGAGTTCCAAAAGCTCTGAGCTGGTGCAGGAGTTCTTTAAAACTGAGCAGAGAGAGACCTGGTGCATGCCCAAATTGCAAGAGGTCAATTGCACATGTGCCGGATTCCCCCCCCCTCCCCGCACATTGCGCACACATACAGAGCGGGACTATGGAGCGGGAAACAGAAGAGAGGTGGGTGGAAGAGAAAGAGAGACGAACATGAAGAAAGGATTGAAGGTAACAAAAATACAACTTTTTAAATCTATTTTTAATTATGCGAGCCCAGGGGCAGCCGGGCCCACGCCCGCTGCCTCACCGCGCCCATGCCCGCTGCTGCTGCCACCTTGCCGGCCCGCAACCACCACCACGGTCTTTAATCTGGCCCCCTGTTGAAAAAGTTTGAGGACCCCTGTTTTAAAGTATATATACTATAAAACACTTCAGATTAGCAAAGGACAGACAATGATGCAAAGGTTTACCTAGTGAAAGTATACTTTGTTACAGAAAATCTTGAAGTTGGAATACTAAATATATTACCTTGTTTAATTTGGTTCATAAACTGTGATAGGAAATGCTATATTATTTGGCTGAATTTTCTCAAAGAAAGATATTAAGACTTCTTAAACATTTAAGTATATATACTATAAAATATACCTCAGATATATCCCTGTGTATATATATATCTGTATGTATGTATGTATACTATAAAAAGTATATATACTATAAAACATATATATACTATATAAAGTGGTACCTCGGCTCACAAACTCCTCAGTTCATGATCAAATCAGGTCCCGAACAGAAATTTCTGAAAACTTTTGCCTTGGGTCATGAACTCTGTGTTGGCTGACGATCGCGATTGCGCCTGTGATCTCATCCGCTTCGCCCCAGAGCACACCCATGATCACACCCACCTCTTCTCCCCAGATCGCACCCGCCTCCCCCTTGAGCATGCCCACGATTGTGCCCGCCTCCCCCCACAGCGTGCCTGCCTCCCCCCCAGTGTGTCCACAATCGCGTCTGCCTCCCCCCCCGATCACGCCCGCTTCAAATTTTAGTGATTAAAAAAAAAATAGTTACAGAACGGATTAACCTTATTTACATTGAACCTTATGGGGAAATTTGACTTGGCTCACGACCAGAGTCCTGGAACGGATTAAGTTCGTGAGCCAAAGTACCATTGTATATATAGCATATATATATACACACACTATATACACACTACACACGCATACACACACACTGTGAAACATACTTCAGATTAGCAAAGCACAGACAATGATGCAAAAGTTTACCTAGTGAAAGTATACTTTGTTACAGAAAATCTTGAAGTTGGAATACTAAATATATTACCTTGTTTAATTTGGTTCATAAACTGTGATAGGAAATGCTTTATTATTTGACTAAATTTTCTCAAAGATATTAAGACTTCTTAAGCATGTTACTCCACTGTTCTCAGAAACAGTTATAGTGCAAACAAAATATTTCTGGCATAAATTTCTACTGCTAGAACATTTCTCCTTTTTGTGATGGTACTTTAGGCTTCATTTGCTTTTGTTTCGGTGGCTTCTGAGATTTGGATTCCAGTCTTGCCAATTTTAATTGAAATCTTGTACATTTTATAAGGAATCCCAAAGCTTTGGCAAACTCTAGAACTAGATAGAACAGGATAATTGCAAGAAGGAAAAACAGATCTTGTGACTCTGACCAAGTTGTTAATGGCATTCTTTCATAGACTTTTGGGAAACTTGAAGTGAATCTTTATTTTAGCAAATCCAATTTAGTACAATCTTGCACATGAGTATAAAACAGCCAATATCACTGTCCATAAGTATTTGTTAAAGGGCAATTTGAGTGAGAGGTAACAAGCCATGTAGAAAACTATAAGATGTATTCTGAACAAATCTTATTTTGTTGTTATGTATTTTGTTCTTCTGAGGCAGTTAAATGTTTTGGTGGAATATATAATTTAGTTATGCATAATAAAGCTCTAAGAAAGCTTTTCATTTAATGAGTGTCTGAGGGCAATCAAACAGAGCTATGCTGCAGCATAGGTGGCAGAAGACTTGGGTTGTATCCAGCCTAAGACAGAGTAGAAGTCATGTTGACATTTAAGTGATGATGAAGGAATCTTTCTTCCATCACCAGTGCATCTGCAAAATGTCAGCCAGCCAAGCAACTCCAGGTGCTTAGAGGCCTCTTCTGCTCAGCAAGGGTAATTGGTGGATATAAATGACTAAATTTGTGGATGATACCAAAGTGGGGGCAGTGACCACAACTGAGGATCAGGTGATCCAGTTCAAGAAGGTTCTGGACAGCCTGTGGAAGTGGGCAGGGGCAATAGGATGGCATTCAGTGTGGATAAGTACATGGTCTTGCACTTGGGACATAGCAATAGGTGTCACAGTTATAAGATGGGGGACAAGTGGCTGGAGAGCAGCACTTGTGAAAGGGATCTTGGCTTACTTGTCAACAGCAGGCTGAACATGAACCAGCAGTGTGATGTGGTTAAAAAGCCAAATGCCAGAATCATGGGTTCCAGGTCTAAGGAGGTGTCTGCACGACTTTGGTGTACCCACAACTGGAGAACTGTGTCCAGTTCTGGGCTCCACTTTACAGGAGAGACATAGCTAGGTTGGAATTGGTTCAGCACAGGAATGGTAGCCAGGTTGGGAGGGATGACACATGAGAAGAGATTGAGAGAACTGGGTCTTTTCACCCTGGAGAAGAGGAGACTCTGAGGGGGTCTTTTAGTGTCTTACAGGTATGTGAGGGGATGTCAAGTGGAAGAGGACCATAACCTGTTCTTCCCTGCAGTGGAGGGCAGGACACTTGGAACTAGGCTTCAGGTTGGATGTCAGGAAGTACTTGATGGTTAGAACCCCTAAGATATGGAATGGGCTTCCAAGGGAGGTGTTTGAGGCCCCATCAGTGTGTGTGTTCAAGGAAAAATTGGACAGCCACATGTTGGGGATTACATGAAAGGAGCTGGCTGGAGCTGGGGTCAGACTAGCTGGCCCAGGAGACCCCTTCTGACTTGCTTTTTTCTATGTTTCTATATTTGGATTTGTTCCAAATTGCTTGGATTTGTTCCAAGTTGGACTTCTAGTGCAGAGATGGGGATTGGTAAGATATTGTTTGGATATCTTGTGATGCAGGAATGACTCTTTTGACTCTGAGGACTGTGTTGGCCCCTGCATGGATTTATTTAAATCAAGGAGACTTCAGTCAGAGAGGAAAAGGTTTAATTTAAATAAAGTTTCTCATTTAAATGTTACCATACATTTTCTGCATGGTTGTACAAATCTGACCACTAAGCCGTATTAATTTACTGCTCAGAAGAATGTTATTTATACTGTTTTCTTACAAGAAGACTTTATATTTCTTCATCTAACTGTATTTTTGGTATGATTCCTTTTACCTATAGAAGGAATATCTTCAAAATATTTCCATACAGAACCTTTCTTATTACCAGCATCTGTGACAGTGTGAGGTTAACAGTACAATTCTATACATGGCTCTTAAAAAGAAGTTCTGTTGAGTTCACTTATGGGACCTGCTCCCGGGGAACTGAGTGTAGGATTGTAGCCATAGTACGAGAATATAAGAAGATGCATGCTGGAAATTT